CTTTTTTTTATCTTTTTTAAAATATAATTTTATTAAATTTTATTTTTAAATATATTTTTATTCTTTTATGTTTTGCTTTTAAATATTTTCTATTGATTTTTTTCTTTTAAATATAATTGTATCGATTTTACATCCTCTCAGGATCGATTCCCACGTTCTTTTATTTTTGTTTTTACTTCCTCTGCTTCTTGGCTGCATTGTTTATTTCTTTTTTATATTGATTAAAGTTTTTTAAATATATTTATATTGATTTTTTTAAATATAATTTTATTGAATTTTGTTTTTAAATATATTTTTATTGTTTTATGTCTTGTTTTTAAATATTTTCTATTGAATTTTTGTTTTTAAGTATATTTTTATTGATTTTTGTTTTAATATGTTTTTATTGATTTTTGGTTTTCAAATATATTTTTATGGGTGAATCTCTATTTTGATTTGTTTAATATACTTTTTGTTGGGATCGATTTCTAAACTTTAGTCTATTTTAGTTTTTTGAAAATATTTTTTCATTTAAAATAAAATATTTTAATTTTTATATCTAATTAAGTTTTTTTAATCAAAATATGTGTAATTTTGTTTATATCATGAAACATATTTCTTTTAATAAATTTAAATTTATAATCCTAAACTTAGATAAATGTCATAATTGTTATTCCCCRCTTCAATAAAACTCACTAATTTATAAAAATCAAGCTTCTAAAATAAGGTTGGATTAATATATAAAATCTACTGTTAAATAACTATGTGAAAACTTATAAATAAATAATAAAAAAAAAACTATTTGTTATCTTTGTCTGAATCCTATCAATTTTTCATTAAATTTTTTTTTATAACTTATTTGACACATGAGAATATTGTTTTCAACAAATTTCAAATGAAAATCTATTGAATGACAAATTTGTGACATAAGTGAAAATTACTGCACCTATCCAAATGTAAGATGCAAATTGATACACAAGTTAAATTGAATATTTTTCATTATATTTATTTGCATTTGTGCTCCTAACTTGAAATCCTAGATTCGCCACTGAGGTACTCCAATTAAATTGTTTTTATTTCCAGAAACTATTATTATCCAAAAATTTTGCCAACTTTTTAAATTTTTAGCGACGAATTCTGAGGTTGATTATACATTGTGTTCATTTATATGGAAATTCAGCTTTGCAAATAATGAAAATTAAAATAAAAAAAGCGACGAAAACGTGAATATGTCGCAATAGCCATGAAGTTTTTATTTGGTCACTAGCCACATTATTAGTGACAGAAATGTCAATGCGCTTGTGCGACAAAACTACTTTCGTCTCAAATTTAATATAAACGTTGTTTGTGCAACGAAACTACTTTTTGTCGCAAATTTTCAACAAAAGCGTATTTTCTTCACCTAAAGTCTTCGACGAATGGCGAAACTTGCGACGAAACTGATTTCGTCACTGACAACATTTTGCGACGAAATTTACTTTCCAATGACGAAAATATTTCGGCGTTGAAAGTCCTAATTTTTGTAATGATGTCCTACTCGACTAGAGACAAACCACCCAATCAAACCAACTGAAGGAGACGGCCCCGACTAGAGTGCGAGCAAGGTACTTTCACAGATTCTTACTTAACTTTTCAACTTTTTAGGCATGAGAGAGTAAATTGGACTTAGTACCATCCACTAGTGTACATGTCTAAGTATCTATCAAAGCGTTTGACATCGGAAGCCCGAATTCAAATCCTACATAATACATGTACTTATATTATTTTAATTTACAAACAGCTATTTGTTTAATTATAACATATGAGCTATTCACATACCAAATTTTTGTAACGCACACACTTAAGGAAACACCCAAATAAAATTAAATTACACAGGATAGGGTATTGATTTGAGATGGAGAGGAATTTTCTTGCGAACAGTTTGCTCATGTTCTTCAGTCACGTCCAATATCTCCTCTGGTAGCTTCCAATGGAACCAGTAGAGAAGGTTAGCCAAATGCATATTCAAAAACAAGCAATCCCAAATGACATTCCAGGGCACTTCCTTCTCCCACTCCCAAATGGAATGAATTCAAACTCTTAGCCTTTGAAATCTACTGAACTCTTCTCCATGAATCTCTCTGAATGAACTCGTTTGGGCTCTCCCAAATCTTAGAGTCTCTTTGTATTGTCCAAGCATTGATCCAAACGCTGGTTTTTTATGGAATTTGGTAGCCTTCGTCTTCAAAGTTGACGATTCCTGATGTTTCTCATGGCACGAGTAAAGGAATCCGTGGATGCAGTCTCAGAGATTCTTTTATCACACACACACAACATGTACTCCATCTTTTCAATATCTTTCCTTTCAATTTTTGGCTTCTTTCCGACCACTCTTTTAACTTCTTGAGCTTTCGTCATGGCTATTGGGTTTATCATCAGTTGGCTCATTGTCCATTCCAAACCTACGACAGTTGTCTCACTTCCCCCTACAAACATGTCTTGCAAAGACAAATCATATACTCATTTACAAGTAAAACCAAACCTTAAATTATAAGTTAGTTCTAAACTTTCAATTATGTATCTAATGTATCTCATATTTTCTAGACATTTTTAAGTCTAAAGATTTATTAGACATATTTTAAAATTCAAATGCTTTCTAAACCTACCAGATTAAAAATTTATAGATTCATTAATCACTTTTTAAAGTTATATATTAGAATTTTTTTACAGCTCAAAGACATTAAATACCACACTAAATATCTAGCAATCATAAACTTACCATTTAACCTAAAAATAATAAAAAATAAAAAATATGGATAGTACACCATCTCATTTAACCTAAAAAAAAGGATTAGTAAGCATTTCTATGTGTCTTATTGTTATTAGTTAAAAAATTTTAATGTGACCCACTTGTCTATAATAGAATAATAAAATTATATCCTAAGCTAATGAAGTTCACACTTTTATGTGCAGTTAAAGAAAAACACTTAAGTATTTATGACTAGACATTTATCTTTTTTTAATCACCATTAAAATTTTTACCATTTACTTTTCTATTTATAAAATGCTAAAAAACTGTTCAAGTTCTTATTTTAATCAACAGAAGTTGCATATAAACATTTCAATATTGTTCGCGGGCAAATGTGTTCGCGTGCATGCGAGAGAGAATAGAAAGAAACCAGTAAAATTGCTTTGAAATTATCCTTAGTGAAAGGATGATCCAACGTGTCGTTTTGCTGCAGTTGGAGCAAGATATCCACAGAGCTCTTTTCATCGGATTGATCATCACTGCTCCTAATCTTTTTCTTATGTTCTTCAATCACCTCATCAAAAAAGGCATCCAATGTTTCAAAAGTTGTTTTAAGATCTCCAATGAATCCTCTCAGCACATCAATCCAAATTCCAAAACCAGGGAAGAAATCCGCAACATAAAACCCAGCCATTAGCACCATAACCTTTCTTATCACATCTTCAAATTTACTGTCTCCACTTTCATCCTCAAACTTCTCTCCAAAAACAACTTGTTAAGATTCACAGTCTCACCACCAACACGGCCTTTACGAATCCTTTTTCTCTCACGTGCTAGGAAGACTCCACTCTTTTGGCACTTAAAAATGCAAATTTTTTTGGCTTGTCTCCAGTAATATCCGTAAGGAGCAAAACCCCACGTCGTGGCATCTGTATAGCAAGAGATTTGCAGCTGTGGTTTGGGGCCTATTGGAGAATGTGATGTCGTGGGACTTCATGACTTGTCTAGCCATTTTTGCATATGAAACCACCAGAGTTGGAGTGTGGCCCAGTTTGAGGAGCATGAGGGGCACTATTTCTGAGAAAGAGTTGCCAGAGAGCGGTGTGGGAGGGTTCCTATTTGGCGAAGGTTGGCAATTATTGGGAGTTGTGGTGGTGAAGGAGGCAATAAGTTGCTGTTTTTGGCTCTGAAGAGCTTAAGTAAAAGAAGGAAGAAGGAAGGTGAGAGAAAGAGAGATGGGATTATTGAAGTGAATTGTGGCTCCAAAGTCAGTGGAGATTTGATGCCGACTGCATATGTGATAATTGCAAGATAAAAGATGAAGTTAATTCATGTACGTCTTTTTAGGTAAAATTATGGAAATTATATATTAGAAATAGACATTATCATACTATTATTCTCGTGTGGAATTACAAGTAGGAAGCGGTAGTAGAGCTTAGCGTCCTCTAGATGAACAGAAGTCGGCTTAGAAAAATAACAGCTTCTCAACGAAATTGAGAGTAGACACACAACTATTTGAAGAGAGGCTCCATAGTATTTTGAACAAGGTAAGGAAGGATTGTTAGAGTCTCAATTACTTGACTCTTAAAATTATTATGCAATTGAAAGACATTATTCTTTTTTACAAGGCAATTTAAGGTACAAAATTTAACTTTGATTTATGCCACTAACAATTTCCCTATTCTAACAACCTATTGAACAGCCACCCCACAATGAATAGACTAACAAAAAAAACATAACCACTACTTTCAAATTATCACAGTACATCTCATTTTAGATTTTTTTTTTTTTTTGAGATATATAAGTATAAATAGCATAAATTAAGTTGAAACATTTGCAAGTATAACCATCACTAAAAAGGTAAAGTTAGCATGTCTCTCTCTGGACAATTTAAACATTAGGGAATCATTTTCAAATTTCGCAACATTGCAAAACTCTGCTTGGAGCACATATCACATATTTACATCATCGCAGCAGATACTCCTCTCGTCGATCCACAGATTCACGCACAGCTATACACAGTTGTTGCAGGAAGTTGATGGGACAAGTTGAAGCAAAGTCAGTTAAGGAATCGCAGCTATCTCCTTAAGGGATCCCTTGTAAAGAAAGGGTGCTTTAGGGCTTGGCGCGCCGTAAGTCTGTCCACGGGATTGTATCGAAGCAACCCTTGCACAAGTTGAATCAATTCCCCAGCCGAATGGTCCACATGCTGCATTATCAAGTTCTGCATGTATTTTTTCACGAAATAGTAAGTGTAAAGTTGTAAACAAAGAGATACCTTCAACGCCCTTTAAACAAGTACAAGTTAAAACACAAACCGGTAAACGAGGCAGCTTTTGAACAGCCTTGATACTATCCCTCGAAGTTGCACCTTCTGGCCAGTCTAATCTACCTCTTCTAACATATTTTTCTGCATGTCGACTATTGATATGCCAAAAAAAAATAAAAAAATCTCAGAACCTATGTTTCTTAATTGATGTTTAACACGGAAAAGCAAAAACCATGTTTGAAACACTCACTCTACTTTCTTCAGCATCTCCTGTGGCAATGGACCAAGCACTCTCTCCATCATTGCTAGGTGCTCCAAGTTCTCGTGAGTTTGAAACAGTGCTTCACCCTAAGACAAATAATGCATTGAAAATTTAATCACATACTAAAACCAAAAAACGAATAAAATCAATTCTAACATAAATTTTATTCGACACAAATGATGTATTAGATTAAAGATGCACCTACCGAGCATAGTTCGACCAGAATACACCCAACACTCCAAATATCACAAGGAAAACTCCATCCAAGACCTACAAAACATTTGTTATTAAAAATCATACACTCAATCAAACCACACAAAAGAATGAAAAATGTGAAAATAGTCAAAATAGTCAAAATCCCTTACCAAGAATAACCTCTGGTGCTCGATAATGGCGTGTTGACACAATGTAATTCTGATCTTGACGATCATAAGTGGTGCTACCAAAATCAATAACCTTGATAGCACTTGACTTGGGCACTCTTTTAAAGTTAGTACTATCCCTCGGTGATCGAGACAAATTCTGCTACAATTGTCGAAATAATTAGAGCAAATAACCAAAAGAGATCAAGCAAGAACTTAGAAATTCCAATAAGATACCAGATCGAAAACTACAAATACCTTATAGTCGTGTACTTTCACATAATCTACCGATACCAGTAGTATGTTCTCCGGCTTCAAGTCAGTATGAATCATCCGTAGGTCATGCATGACTGGTTATCAAAGGTCAAAGCAGTTATTAGAATACAGAACAGAAAATAATAAGAAACTGACTCTGCATACAATTTAAATAAAATTCTAGAAAACAAAATGAAATATGCAACAGATACAAAATAACCATTTAATTTTAAAAATTGGTTGACTTAATATCTTGCAACAAACATAAGACACTTGGAATGGAAAAGAAAAGGGACTAGGTTCAATAAAAATACTACACACATGCTACACATTCCAACAGTTGTCTGCCAATGTCACGAACTAGGTCAATGGGAAAGGAGCGATAATTGTTTTTCCGTAGAAAATCGTATAAGCTTGGCCCAAGCTTCTCAAACACCTGTTGAAACCATTTAAGTTCACCCTCAAATCTTAACCCCCCATATTTGGTGAATCGGGGAAATTAATCCATGATAAAACAGCCTTATAATACTTACAATACAGATATGGTTACGATAGTCAAACCAGTTCCGTATTTGAACACAACTGCAAGGAATAAAGCCATTTAACCATAGCAACAAAGGTGACAAAAGCTAGAGTGCCAACTATGGCAGTAAGAAAGATTTACAACAAAAACAATACTCACCGATTGCCACCTTTATCATGCTTTCCAAGCTGTTGCAAAACTTCAATTTCAATCATAGCTGCATCACGATATTTCCTAATTCCACGCACAATTTTTATTGCAACCATTTCTTTTCTTTCTCTATCCCAGCACTCCAAAACCTGTCCAAAAGTACCCTCGCCCATTTTGCTGTGTATTCTGTCTGCCGCAAAAGAAAAAATTGACAGAGTAAGAAAAAGAAACAACCTCCAGAAAATATATGGTAATTAGCAAATCCTTGCTAGTCCCTAAGCCATTCCAAATAAGTAATGATTTGAAAAATTTAACGAGAAACAGATGAGCTCAATTATTAAAAATAATGTAAGTGACAATGATAAATAATGTTTTAGATATAGTCAGATTATATCCTTCATTAAAATAAGCGGAGAAACTAATTTGTATGAGAAGAGAGCTACGATGAGCAAGTTTGATAGCACATAAAAGTTTCTTTAATTATAGTCAAGTGTATTTACAGCGAGAAGTTAAATTTTCTCCAAGCGCAAACATGTAATGTCCATCTTTGTCATCTTCTCGCCAGGGGGGAGAACCATTACGAGCCACTCCCTTAACAAATAGGGGATTAGAAGAATGATCTGATGGTGCTCTTGAAGATGCAAAGCTTGGCATATTCGCAATCTCTTGTCCACAACAAATTCCTACCTGAGCCTACACACAGTCACCCATTCATATAAAAGTTTGCCCTTCCTAAACCTAATATCCTCACCAAAAGTCTTCATTTTCCACAACACAATTGAAATTGCAAAATTTTTTTCAATAAATACAGTTGGGAAGCAAATGCTGGGACAAATATGAAATACAAATCAGATGCATGGTACACAGACCCGGAAGAGGAAAAAGAAACAAAAAAAGCCTAGAAAAACATATCGTGGAAAATAACAAAAATTATAATCAAAGGTCATTCATAACAGCAAAATAAATGTTTGAAATAATCTTCGATCAGAATAAAGAACGTTTGTTACCTGATCCGATTCGAGCTTTCAAATGAAATATAAAAAATTTGTTAATTCAACAGATCAATAACGAAGCTTCAGGGAAAAGAAATCGACTCATAAAATAAAATTAAAAAACATAGAAAAATGTCAAAAAATCGTCAAAAGAAGTAAATCAAGAATAGGAAAAAAAAAAGAACACATATTGGCTATGCTGATCAGAGAGTATACCTTGATGTGAGACCCTAATACATACCTAAACAAAAAAATTCCGGCAGATCTAGCTCTACGAGACCAGAGCCAACACGAAATAAAATCAGATCTGAAAAGAAAGACCCAAGATTATACCTTTGGGGCCTCGGGGACAACGTCCCAGCCCAAACGAGCCCGCTTTCGGGGCCTCCGATCAAGATGGGTATGAGGAAACTCGATCATGCGCTCCATCTCCATGATCTCGCAGAAAATCAGCAGAGTTTATCCGTGAAGGAAGACGGAGATTGAAGAACCGTGGGGAGGAAAAAGGAGGAGACGAGAAGAAATATTCTTTCGCAAAAGGAAGTTTGTGGAATGGAATGGGAACGCAACCCTAATTTTAACCTAACAACGAAGCATGAGGAGGATGAGAGGAAATCTAACCGTCCACGTCGCGGAGAAGGAACCGTAGATTTAGATGGAATCTCCTTTCCAAAACTCGGTCAATGATTTTAATAGCTAACCCAGGGTTAATCCTAACCATGGTTCGGTTAGCTTTTCCGGATTGTGTTAGGAAGTATATGCTACAAGGAACAAAGGATAAGATTCCAAGTTACTATTTAAACATAAATATAAAAAATAAAAAAGAAATTTAATTATTTAAGTGGGCCTAGATCTGGACTGCCGAATGCTTCTGTTGGGCCTTATTTTCCTGTAATGGGCTTTGATTTCAACGACGGGCCTTTTTACGAAAAAATGGGAACGTCCATTCTTGTAATTTCATAGCGACCCATTCTTGTAATTTCACACAGATTGAGGTGGAAATTCAAACTAACCTATGTAAAACTTAATGGTTGTCTTCTTTATATAAATGAGAATGAAAAAATATAAATGAGGGGACCTAACATTATCCCATTAATCTTAATTATTTGATTATATTTAAGTAAAAATATATATTCTCAATTTGGTCTTATATTTTAAAATTCTCGATTTTAACTTTAATGTATTAGAAATTATCAATTATGTCATTCCATACAAAAATTTGTTAAAATGTATGAACAAAAACTTGATAAATTTGTTATATGAACATATTTAGATACTTGAATATGTCGCTCGAATATTACTTGACTCATGAAGTTTAACTCGTGCATGAGTAAAACTCAATCCATTGATTAACAAAATTCACTTTTTTTTCTAACACATGTCTAGAATGTTTATGAATCTAAACATGTCAATAAAACAATAATTTAATGTCACATTAGTTTTATGTTATAAAAATTTAATCTAATTAAAAATTTTGAATACGTTAAAAGATAAAATTGAAAATATTAGAAGATTTAAGATTCGAATTGAGAAAAACTTTAAAGATTATGAAGTTAACCTAAATTTTGTCAAGTTATTTTGAAGTAATAGAAAACAATAAAAAATAAAATAAACAACTCCTTACCGATTCCATCCATTCTTGTGGAAATAAAACAAGATCAAGTCATGATTGTGATCATAATATGATGCAATATTTTCCCAGAAGAAAAGGAAAGAATGATTCTCCGCATCTATTATCTTATTCATTCTCTTCCAAATATATTCTAACATCTCAATGGACTATCATTCGACTCGAAAGAGTAAGACAAGAATTTAAATATAAGACCTTACACTCCGATACGATCAATAAACCACCACTCAACGAAAAAACTTATGTTGATGGGTTGGATAAATTTAATTCATATATGAATTCTTAACACTCCCTCTGCATTGTTGAGATTTATATATGAATTAAATTTACCCAACGAACCAGCTTAACATTTTGGGTTGAGTGATAGTTTATTCATCCTAACATGGTATTAAAACGGGAGGTCCTACATTCGAGCTCCTGCATTATTGTTTCCTTCCCATTTGAATGTAATGGTTAATTCTATCATTAACATTATCCCCAAATTAAAATCGATAGCTAGACCACCTCCCCCACCTATCTCTCCTCCGCATCTGCCAAATCCCCCACATCGTCATTTCCATTAAAAATTAAGCTTAAAATATACATGAATTATATACATTTTCTTGATACTTGGTTACGGATTCAAGTATGTTTTCAAGAGAGGTGAACCACTTACCAATGAAATTGTAAAAAATAAGTATAATTTTTAAAAACATAAAACTAAAAACGGAATAGTTATTAAACGACCCTGAAGTGTCCTTGTCAAAATAGTTAAGATATACAAAAAGGTTAAAAGAGAGTAGGCATTATTTATTAAAATATAAGAAAAAAACAAAAAATTAAATCCTCCGTATAGTTACATGGTTGATTTGACATCATATGTTACGTAGAAAAATAAGTTAAAAGGCTACTCAAGGTGGGACTCTCAATTCACATTTTTTTTAAACTAAAAGTAAACCCTTCATTCAAAAAACTACGTAAAGCACTCAATGAGGAGGAAATATGATCATACTCCACCTTTTAAACAAGCTAAATGAAAAGGTTTAGTAAGCCAAAGCAAAGTGGCATACGTCTTAGTTGGGGCTCCCTTACAAACAAGAAAATTTTGTGATTTTTTTTTAATTTATAATATGTAGTTTCTATCTTTAAACATTTTTCACAAAATATTTAAAATATTCTTGCTCGTATATTGAATAAATTCTCCGATTCAATAAACCATTATTGAGGTGTGTGCAATAGTTTCAAAATTACGTATCATTTTAAAATTTTATTATTATTAATGTATGAATGAGAGAAAATGATTAAATATTTTGGAGATGAAAATGGATCAGGGCATGAAATATATTCTCCGTACACATTACGTCTCCATCTTAGTGAGAAATCTCCACCTGACATGGGGTGAGTCCCTATGAAAAGAAAGGGTCAATTTATGGCAAAATTGATTGGTTGTTTTTCTTATCTTTCCTTGGGAATAATTATATATAACATGGTATTTTGACTAATAAATTAAACCCATGATACTTTTCATGAAATAAATTTATTATTATTTTTTTTTAAGCTAAGAATTTGTTGGATATGAGTGAAGTTTTTCGTATCATAATGCATCAAATACACTTGGACTTTTCGCAAAATAAATTTATTTATTATTATTTTTTTGAAGCTAAGAATTTGGATATGAATGAAGTTTCTGGTATTACAATGCATCGAGTACACTTTGAGGTGCTGGCAAAAGCTTACTTTGCCTCCTTAATCTCAAAATAATTAGTTAATTAACTATCCTGTTTTATTAATTATATGTCCTTTTACTTTAGTTTTTTTTTTTTAATTATGTATACTTTTGTGTTTAAGCTATTGCTCGTTTTAACTAGTTCTTTTTTATTCTTTATTTGTGATGTAGTTTTTTATTATTAAATAATAAGTGTTTTGCATTTGGTCAATTTATTTACTTTGTTAAAGAAATAATTCATTTTTAACACCCACGGGAGAAGCTACATGCATGATGCAAATAACATATGTATTTGAGCCCACGTACACAATTAAGTAAGAATTATTATTTCCTCCCAACAAATAAAGTATAGTGCATTTGGTTGGTCATCTGAGAACGAGTTGTTTTCAGTATTTTTAAATATGTGTTTGGTAGTAGATTTAAAAATTGAATCTCAATTTAAAAAAGATGTTCACCTATCTAATAATATATTTGTAAACTAGTTGGAGTTACCGAACAAATATTTAGTTCCATATTAAATAATATTAATTAATTTATTAACATTTTTGTCATAAATTTTGTAAAATTATTGTTTTAGAATATTGTATAATTTATGATATTATTATATTTTATATGTTGTAATTTAAAAATAAATAAATGAATTTATAACATAGTATATTTATCAAAGTTTTTTTTTTCATGAAAATCATGCATTTTAAAGTTCCAAATTAAAAATCGAAAAACACTCCAAACATAAAAAATGGTGTTTTATAATTTCCACTCTTTAGATCGCATACAGTTTTTCAGAAACAAACGTTCCAAACGGATAATTCACTAGATTCATTTTAGGGGAATCGGAAAACAAGAAAAAGAATGTTATCTACCAAGCAGTCTTATCTTATTTGATAATTATTTTATTTTTAATTTTAGATTGCAAACACTATTTTTATCTTCTTTTTTTTTTTTACTTTATTATACATTCTCTAAAACTATTTTTTAAATCTAAGCTAAATTTTAAAAACTAAAAAATAAAATTTTGAAACTTATTTTTTATTTTGAAATTTAACTAATAATTAGACCCCATTAGATAACCATTTATTTTGTTGTTTTTTATTTTTAAAAATTAAGCTTAAAAAATTACTTATGGCTATGTCTCAACCTTTTTATTTATTTATTTATTATTATTATTGTTTTTCTTAATGGTTGTTATAAATAGTTTCAAAAACTATACCAAATTTGGAAGAAAAGATTGTTTTTGTCTTTGGGATTTAGTCAGAGATTCAAATATGTTTTCTGGATAAGTGAAAAACTTACCGATTAAATTATAAAAAATAAGTATAATTTTTAAAAATAAAAAACTAAAAGCAAAATGATTATCCAACCATTCTTAAATGTGTTGGTAAAAATAAGGAAAAATAAACCAAAAAACTAAAAGAGAGTAGACATTATTTTTTAAAACAAAAAAAAAAGCAAAAATCGAAACCCTTCATATGGTTATAGCTGATTTGGAATCATATGTTTGGTAGAAATTTAAGTCAAAAATTACTCAACATCGAACTCTTTAAATTAAAAAGAAAAAAAGAAAAAAAAAAATAGGATCGGGCTTTACTTTCACACCTCTGAATTCACATCCAGCCCATTTCACATTTTTTTTTTTAAAACTAAAAATAAACCCTTCATTCAAAGAACTACACAAAAACCACTCAATGACGATGAAATATATATGATCATACTCCACCTTCTAAACAAGTTAAATGAAAAAGTTTGTAAGCCAAAGCAAAGTGGCTTACTTCTTAGTTGGGCCTCCCTTACAACAAAATATGTGATTTCTTATTTTATAGCTCCTATATTTAACTATATAAAAATAATAATCACACTCTATCAACGATATTGAGTAAATTCTCCTTAAGATTTTGATTCAATAAACTATTATTGAAGTTATTATTATTAATGTATGCATGGAGAGAATATTCATGACAAAATTTCTTAGTTGTTTTTCTTCTATTTCAGTAAGAGAATAATTATATAACAGGATATTGTGACTATCGACTTAAAATCTTATTTTTTCTATTAGATAAATTAAATCATATCATACTTTTCACCTAATAAATTTATTTATTTATTTTTGACAAAACACCTCTCTCAAAATAATCTCGATAAGATATACACCTATATGATGTAGAATCAATACATTAATCTAGCTAATCATAATAAAAATTGTGAATATATTTACCATAGTGATCCAATTATACCA